CAAAATAGTTTAAGACATGCTTTTTTTTGTGAATTGTATGTGGAATGTACAGTGACCTGTAGCACGAAACTGGTTTCAGTTTTACCCAGGTAAGTTCACGTTTAGTTTGAGCAAACTCTTGAGTTTTCTGGCTCAAGAAGGTGGGTTGGTTTTGAGAAGGTTTTGTCACCATGGTAACTTCCAATACACAGCTACCCTGCTCCAGAGCAGGGCTGCGTTCAGCCCCGACAAAAACGGTGCAAAACGTTTTTTTAACGGAAACGGTGGTGCGTTGAACACCCTGTTCTGATGACGCAAGAGTTGCAACTATGGCAGCTGAGAAGGCCATTCTCTTGTGTTCTTTTTGAAGAATTTTCGGAGCCTGATGAAATCGGTATAAATACGTGTTTGAGCATGAACTTGCCCCTGGTTTTATTCTGGGTTAGAGGTCACAAACTGGACCAATCAGCTTTGATCAAAGTGACATATATCTGATGCAATGATGCCACTCCCCCGTATCTCTAGCTCCAAATTAAAGCAGTTAAAATTTTAGAGACAAAATTGCCCGACTTTTGTTGCTACTTATTATATTATATTAATTATAATTGATTATAATTCATATAATATATTCATATTATTATATGAAGTGGCAATTAATTTTAAGCTTTGCATTAATATTATTTGTAAATTGTTTGGACTAATTATTTGGACTTGTAACCCGAAGGTCGCGGGTTCAAGTCTCAGGTCCAGCAGGGAGGATGCGTGTTCACTGCCGTGTGTGTGCACTTGGATGGGTTAAATGCAGAGCACAAATTCCGAGTATGGGACACCGTACTTGGCGAAACGTCACTTCACTTTCACTTTCATAAGCTTTAATATATCCAACTTTTACATTTTTAAACCATATATTTTCCTTTTGAGCTCTGTGTGAAACTATACAAGTAATTAAATTCAGTTGATTCCTTTGCATAGTCATATATTTTCTTTTTGCTGCCTTCTCAAACTTTTGCTGCAGCATAAGTGTTTATTCCTGCCTTGTAAATGCATTTAAATATATATTTTTTGAATAAAAACATCCCCTAATCTTCAGCAGAAAAGTGAATTGCGCTGACTCTCACGAGAAGTGAATCCAACTGATGCTTTGCTGATGCTCTCCACGTTTCGTGTGATTGGCTGTTTTCTGCACACGTCACACTTTCAGGTGCATGTGCTCCAGAGTTAATCACAAACTCTGGTTCATGAGTTGACAGAGAACATTTATATTCAGCTTTGTGAGCCCGCTGATCCTGATCTAAACCAGGTTGGATTTTTTGGGCTTTGTCAACTCTAAACCTACTCTGAAACAATGAGTTTGTTCATCTCGCTTCATGCTACAGGCCACAGGACCATTAGGACCATAGCGAGTTGAAAATCTCAAACATGAGTAGCTTTGCAACTACATGCCATCTACCAGTCACTAGAATATTAGTAGACTGTCTGCTTAACAACTGCTATCACTTTATTTTAAAGGTCCCCCAACACATTCTACTGCCTGTAATAACTTTGCAAAGTACATGTCAACTTATTGTACTATTCCTAAACCTAAAACTAACACTAAGCCTACACCTCACAGACTTAGGAAGAGTGGGATCTAACCTGGAACCAGCTCAGCTGGAACCTGTGTGCTTCAAGCCACTGCCAAACAGAATCATCAGTTAGTCCGTTAGGTCCATCTAGCAAACCGCATTGTGACGGGGGTTCAGCCAGCTCTTCTCAGTTTAAATATGGATTGGCTGATTTATGGGAATGCTTGGAATTGGTTGCATACGGGAGTGGATTATTGGGGGACCACTATGGGGAGGCCCTGCAGGCTGCCAGAACAGAGCTACTGGAATCCTCACGAGTTCGTTGGGAAAAGGCGTGGCAGGTGGCTACCAGGTGGGCCCATAAGAACTTAAAGTTCATCCAGGAATCAACAATAAAACTAGCTACGTCTGCAGTCACGAGGCTGATGGCGGGTGAGGCCCTGGAGAGGGAGGAGGAGTCACTGATGAATCCCCAGTCGGTAGTGAGGGAGGCTGGTCAGCCCTTGGAGGTTCGGGTGGTGCATCTTCGTTCAGGACCGGCTTCATCCTCGACAGTAGGGAAGATCTGGGTTGAACAAGAGGAAGGGGCACAAGAAGCTGTAGTGCCTGTTCAAAATCCCCCAGTAGTTTCCAGTAGTGTGCCTGAAGACCCCGAGCCGGCAAGATACCCTGAAGCCTCCAGTCAGCCGCGTTAGCCCTAAGACAGTTCGGGGGGATGGACAGATGGGGGCAGATGGACCTGAGATTCTCATGAGTAAGAGTTCCTCTTATGTTTTTGGAGGAAGAGGGAAACAAGGACGAGGTGGGCTAGGCTGGCCCAAGTTCAGATCCTCCACGTAAAATATCTCCCTGTACTTTTCTGCATGCCCCTCGAGTGTCCAGAGTTGAGCATACCGGCCCCACAGGTTTGGGGAAGCCCACCGCTGGCTTCCAGGAAGAGGGACAGATGGTAGCTCAAAGTCTCCATAAGAAGCATGATCATCATGGGACAAGTATAAAAACTGGTGTTTGGTCCTGGTTAGGCCAGTTCTTTTCCTTGGGGATTCAAATATGGGGAGGCTACCACCCATAGATAACGGAAAAGTGGAAGTGGATTATTACCTGGGGATGAATCTGGCTCAAGCATATCACATTATTAAGCAAAAAACCCCAGTGTCATTGGTGACTCAGCATGTGATTCTCTCGTTTGGCTTGAAAAATAGGGAGTAGCGGAACCTAGTGATTGTGGGGAAAATCGTGGAACATCTACTTGGGGCTGCCTCTCATACCTTCCCAAATGCAGTGATCCACATTCCTATGATCAATTATGACAAGGCTATGCCGGTGTGGATGGTGGAGAACATCAAAATGCTCAAACGGGTTGAAGCATACCATTACTGCCATGAGAATTTTTCAGGATGGATGTGGACAAGATTCATTGGACCCCAGTTACGGCCAAGGCCATGTTTAAGCATTGGATGGGCCATTTAAACTTGAGTTAAAAGAACAGGGCCCCTTGTTAAACAAATCTGTCATTAACATGTCACAGATTTATTTATTGAAAAATAAAATAAATGTAAAACTATTTTGTAATAAGACCCTACCCTAAACCTAACCCTTTAGACATTCTGTTTATTGTGAGTAGCTTTGCAACTACATGCCATCTATCAGTCATTAGAATATTACTAGACTGTTTGCTTAACATCTGTTATCACTTTATTTTAAAGGTCCCCCAAAACACATTCTACTGACTTTAAGTAACTTTGCAAGTATATGTCAACTTCTTGTACTATTCCTAAACCTAACCCTAACACTAAGCCTACCCCTCACAGACTTAGGAAGAGTGGGATCTAACCTGGAACCAGCTCAATCCTTAAACCTAGCCCTCACAGGTTTGGGAAGGGTAGGATCTAACCTGGAACTGACTCACAACCTAAACCTACCCCTCACTGGTTTGGGAAGGAAGGATTAGAAACCTAGCCCTTGGGTTACCAACCCTAGGCTTGCGTTTTTGTGAATCACCTTACATCTATTCTTATACCTAGGCCCGATGCCCATATGGGCAGATCTCCTAGTTGGAGTATGGTAGAGTCTAATATGCACTGACCTGTGCCCTTTTCCTCAGTCTCCCTATTCCAAATCCTCCTACACGAGTGCTAGGTTGG